CTATGTATAATACGGCTTGCCAGAACGTGTTCATTATATTCCTTCCCCTTTCCCCTCTTCCCTCTTATGGCGGGCTAGCTTTTGACTGACAAATCCGGACCACCCGATGGTTAAAATCGTGCTGAGCACCACAATAAGAAATGGGTCGAACTCGCAACGGTCCAGGTAGCAGCGGAACTTGCGCGTGGCCCAAACGATACCCCAGCACTCGATCTCCGACGTACCGTCCTCCTATGTACCCAGCTCTTCTCGGAGCCAACAAGTAGCTTGCTCGCATAGGCCACGACTCTCTCGCGCCCCTCCACGGTTTGCATTAAGCACGCCCCTACAGCTAGCTTAGACGAGTCCACATATAGATGGAAGCGTTTCGAAAAGTCGGGACACCAGGATGGGAGGTTCCACCAGCTTACGCTTTAGTTGTAGGAAAGCGGCCTCGCAGTCGTCGCTCCAGAAGAATCGGACCCCTTTCATCTTAAGCCGTTCGATTGGGGCCGATATGGTCGCGTACCCCGGGATGTACCGCCTGAAGTAGCTAGTCAAACCCAGGAACGCCCTCACAGTGTGCAAGTCGTGCGGTCTGAGCACGTTCATCACCGACTTGACCTTCTCGGGGTTGGGCAATATGCCAGACGGAGTGACGATGTGACCCAAAAACGCTACCTGGTCGCGTGCCCACTTGCATTTTTCATCTTGAGCTCGAATCCCGCCGACCGGAACCGTTCCAAGACTTGTTTTAGTCGTACTAGGTGGGTAGGAAAGTCTTCACTGAAGACCACGCAGTCGTCGAGGTACACTAGACAAGTCCGCCACTAAAGGTCAACAAGCACAGTCTTCATCAGTCGTTCGAAGGCCGGTACGGCATTACACAGCCCGAACGGCATTACGAGCCACTCGAAGAGACCATATTTGCAGATGAAGGCAGTCTTCTCTACGCTATCAGCGGCCATTGGGACATTCCAGTAGCCGGATGCGATGTCCATCGTAGTAAATAGCTTAGCGTTGCCGAGTACATCTAGAATGTCATCGATGAGCGGCATCGGGTAGCAGTCCTTGATAGTCACAGCGTTCAGTCTTCGATAGTCGATGCAGAACCGTATCCCGCCGTCAGGTTTGCGGATCATAAGCACCGGGCTCGCCCAATGGCTAGAAGAGGGTCGTATGAGCTCTTGCCTTAAGTATTCTTGTATCTCGGATTCCATCACATCTCCTTCCGCCTTGGACACTCAGTAAGGGGTTTGCTTTATAGGCGAGTGCTCTCCAGTATCAATAGAAAACTCGAGCAGGTTCGTCCGTCCGGGGCGCATCGAAGTTTCGACGAACATGTCCTTGAACGGTTGGAGGAACTCCGTGAATATTCTCTTCTGTTCGCTCCCCAATTTAGACTCGTCCAGGTCGACGTAGAGCTCCTCCTTGAGTACTTTGTCCACCCCTGGTATGGATTCTTGAGCGACTTCTCAATTGCCATAGAGTCATTTTATAAATGCACTTACCCAGGTCGGAGACGGAAGCGAAGTCGACCGCACCTGCACAAAACAAAACGATATTTCAGACATTCAAAGCTCAGGATTTGTGCAGCAAAAGCAACATACTCGCAGCTTCAATCGCCTCCTCCGCCGCATTTTTTGCCTGACCCGCCGCCTCCGAGGGCGAGGCTGCAACGATCTTGTCGTCATTCAACACGCTACACACAACACACTAATTTCCCACACCACTATCTACGCACAGTACAGCTACGTCGTACCTTGTCGCCGGCGTGGAGGAGAACGAACGTCCACCAAAGTTGTGCGTGGGAATGAGCTGCACAGCGCTCAAATGAGCCATGTGCTCGAAGCGCAGAGCGCGTCCGACCTGGGAGGCACGGGGGCCGCTAGTTTTGTAAATCAAAAAGTCATAAAGATGATATTAAGAAAAATCATGAAATGAGTCTCAGGGAAGTGAATGTGGCATACGCACTTGCGGGCAGAGGAGCGCGCCATGGCCATCGCAGCTGGCTGCATACGACGCATCGTGAGGAGCACCATCGCTGCAGACCGGAGGAGTGCCTTTCGTGGATGGTATTTAGTGCCGTCAGTAAAATTCCTCGTTATAATGACCCAACAAACATGCAGTGTTGAAGACCATTGTACGTGTATGCCCGTGTCTTGGTGTTCGTCAAAGTATTCTAAAAGACCACTTTCCCGCAGCATGGTGCTGTCTTGGCGGCGTCCCTCCATGGGGCCCCAGAAATGGATACAAGTCCGTCAGGTGCCGTCACGACTTGGTAGTTCAGGCAGTGAATGCGCTTGTGCCCGCTGTACAGATGCTTCTGCAAGTTCTCACCTCTTTCACCATGACGGCGAGGTGAAGGACGACAAACCGCCACCTTGGTGCCGTCGGGGAACCCAAATACGCCCTCCGTCGGAGCTCCTTTCCCCTCGACGGCTTCGCAATACTCCTCCATGCGGGCGCTAACGATCGATTCAGCCATGAACAGCTTGTCCGCAAACGTGTCGTGCACGTAGTCGATCATGTGCAAGAATACACGACACAACCACGCTGTACCCCTTCCAAACGTCTTCATCGTGTCGTAGTAGCGCGTTGGAAACGCTAAGCGAGCTAGCATCACGCAGAGGGCAGTGTCGCCGGAACAATTGTCGCCATGTGCCGTCACTTCAGTGTCAGGGATGCGCAGCAGAGACCGTAGCTCGTAGACGCCAGCCACA